ATGTTTATTGTTATAAGATGTTTGTTATAATGAAAGCCAATAAACATATTATAAAAAATAGAATCTGAACTTGCCCAAATACTACATTTCTTAAACTTGAAATCCTCCCTTCTATCTTGTTGCTTAACTAGTAAGCGTGAATTTAAAGAAGGAGGAAAGTGTATTTGGAAGGTCTAGAGTCTGCAGTAGCAGGGTTTTGAAGGAATTCTTTTCTCACTTGAATTTCACTAATTTGCTGGACAATCCTATGCATGTCTATTCGGAAGTAAAGTCCCATTGAGCTCAAATGGCTTATTTTCAGCTAAGCACATCTAGGTCTGTAGCAGTAAAATAATTTCCAGGCACTAGCCCAGTAAGGTTGGCCAGCATTCCTAATTGTCATCTGTGAAATATTGAATGATCTATATTGTATCAGTAATAGTCATAGCATTTGTGTCTTACCAGTGTCTTATGGTTGCCAGAGCACATCGGGATTTTCAAATATTTCAGCTTTGCCCAGTAACCCATTACTCATGTACGGATTATCTCTTCCTACTTGTTTGAATGCACAGCTATTATTCAGGCCACAGGTTCTGCTGACATTGGAAACCACAAGCACTCCTATCCATTGTTCAAATAAATGACCTGCTGAAGATCTGTCGCTGTGCTGATGAAGTCTACTGAACACTAGCTTGGGGCTTCCTACTTTGTAACCATTAATTTTCAAACAATGAATTGCTGTAGAATCTTCTTCCAGTTGCAAGTGAATATGTCTTTGTGATATTTCTCTGCTCCCTAAATCTAGAGCCTTCTCCAGATGTTCACAATGCTTGAAGAGCTCTTGTGTTTTCAAGCCTCATATTAAGATGGAATCGGAATAACACTTTCCCCAAGCTTATATTGACAAGGACAGCAAGGCGACATGTAGATCAAGAATGGAAAACCTCAGCCTGGGGGGCCATATGTCTTTCTATCTGACACTCAGGATTCTCCCCTAGCCACACCCCTTCCTAAGCCACACCCCTCATCAACCTTGATTCACACCCGAAGGGTTTTTGCCTGGCTGGAATGTGTCCTTGAGCTATGAGAATGCCTATTGCTTGCCTGGTGGAGGACAGAGAGAAGTGTCTATGTCTGTGTAGGAGCTAGCCTACTGCACAAAAGGTAAAATTCAAACACATTTCTCTGCTCACGTTTGCCTCTGGCCCTGCCCAACGTTGACATAAGGCTCCAGGAAGGTAATCCCTAGGCTGCAAATGGTTCTCCACTCTTGATCTAGTGTTGTTCCCTGGGAAGAGGGTTTTACTGTTAAACCACTCTAGGAATGGTAGATATGTGTGGGGAATAGGAATCTCCTATCAACTCTCACTCTTAACAAATTACAGCTCCCAAGAAGCCACCACAGTTTAAAGTGGTATGGTACTGCTTTAAATGTATAGTGCAGATGGATCCTAGGTCAGGATTCAGCAAGCTGATCACATATAAGTGGTCAACCTACCCTACCACAGACAGATTGTAGTAAGTGTTCAATATTTTGCTCTGTCTCCAAGGAGCTCAGAACAGACACATGGTTCCCAGCAGAGCTATTTTTCCAGAAAAAGAGGTGCCAGAACTCACCATGAACACCTCCCTTGTTCTCTTGGGATGGCAATGGCACCCACCTGAGTGGTGCTGGAACTGGGTTCTGGCAAGTTCTGGCTGAAAAGAAGCCCTGGTTCCAGGCTGTCTTTCATCCAGTACAGATCTGTTTAGCTACAGAGAAAAATAGTGCCATGTGCCTTAAAACCAAGTGTGGTGAATTTGCTGTGCTAACCCTAATTTCATGTCACCCTTGCCCCCATTTTATGTCAGTGACAAGGAGGGAGGGAATGTGGGGGATAGGTGGATGGTGAGGGACAGAAGAAAGAATGATGGAGAGAAGGAAAGATGGAGAAAGAGGTGTCAGGATGTATCCTCTGATACATTATCCCCAAGGGAATGTGGCCCTCATCAGGAAAACAGAGAGGGCTCATCCACACTTCCACTTAAAGGTAAAGGTAAAGGGACCTCTGACCATTAGGTCCAGCCGTGACCGACTCTGGGGTTGCGGCGCTCATCTCGCTTTATTAGCCGAGGGAGCCAGCGTACAGCTCATGTGGCCAGCATGACTAAGCTGCTTCTGGCGAACCAGAGCAGCACACGGAAACGCCGTTTACCTTCCCGCCAGAGTGGTACCTATTTATCTACTTGCACTTTGACATTCTTTCGAACTGCTAGGTTGGAAGGAGCAGGGACCGAGCAACGGGAGCTAACCCCGTCGCAGGGATTCAAACCGCCGACTTTCTGATCAGCAAGTCCTAGGCTCTGTGGTTTAACCCACAGCGCCACCTGCGTCCCTTCCACTTATCCCACCACTTTCACTTCCACTTCACACTTCCAATTATTCCACCACTTTCCCCTGGGAAACTCCACTACTTACCACTGAATTGGAACAAATGTCAATCGGGTTTTCTGTGGATTTACAGTATGTTTGTTCACAAAACCATTCAGACCCATGCCTAGAAATCATGCGACAAGCATAAAACCTCTCAGACTTTCTTGGCCTGGGATAAGTGGAAGTGTGGATGAGCTGAGAGAGAGAGAAAGAGAGAGAGAGAGAGAGAGAGAGAGAGAGAGAGACGAGATTCCTCACTCCTATTTTAGAATATTCTCTAGATGTTGCATGCCTCTTTTGAACTTCTGTACACTATGTTTTCCCTTTCATGGATCACTGCCTTGTTGTGGTGAAGGGGCTTGAATAACTCATAACCTATGTGCTTTGCCGTGCAGGGCCACCCAAGACGGACAGGTCATAGCCGAGAGTTTAGACTAAATGTGATCCACCTGGAGAAGGAACTGGCAAACCACTCTAGTATTTTGCCAAGAAAACTCCATGGACATAAACAAGGAGAAGCTTTGAGAAGAAAGTGATGCTCTGAAGCTTTGAGAAGAAAGGCATGCTCTGGTTCATGGGGTCACGGAGAGTCGAACACGACTAAGACGACTAAACAACAACACTATGTTGTAGGTTGGATGTGAGTGGGAACTGGGGAAAGATGGGTTGTGAGGGTTTCTTTGCTTTATAATTATTGTAATTGAATATATATTCCATATGCATATAATGAATGCTGTGCAATCCACAATGTTTTCATTTGCCTTGCAACCTGAATGAACCCAACCCTTAACACATAGGAGCCAATGTGATGCTCCCTGCATGTTGGACTGCAAGTCCCATCACCCTGATATCTTGGTTTGATGGATCTGTATAGACACCCTGCATGTAAAGCACCTATTTCCTCCAAAATAATCTTGGGAACTGTAATTTGTTAAGGGTCAGGGGAATTGTGAGGGGTAACTGATAGCTGCCATGATACTTTTTTGGGGCGTGTGTGCTTTAAATGTAGTTTAAATGTATAGATTGTATGCAGATATCTACAGTCAAAAATCTGGAGGGCACCACATTGCCTGTGCTGGGTATATGCAGTTTTATTTCTTCCTTTCACTTCCTCTCAGCTTAAATACTTTTCCTCCCTCATCATGCTGTTAGCAGAAGCTTGGAGTCTCCTGGATGTAATCAGGCTCCCAGCAGGGGCCAATTGTCTGTGTGAACCAACTTCATTTTTCCACCCTACAGCTAGAAATGTGAAAGGTTTGGGCGGTATTATGAAGGAGGTCAGGGACATAATGTTGTGAGATGGGAAATCACATTAATTTCTCTCTGTCCAGAGAGATCAGAAGCAGATACACACTGGCCAGAGCTTGTTTGCACTTATTAGAGTTCCTGAGAGAGCAGAACTCATTAAAGTGCCATTGTGTTCACATGATCAAGGAGAAGAAGCAAGTAGCTGTAATGAGTGAAAATATCAGAGACGCTCTCACCCACCCAGCACAATGTCAATATCTTGACTTTCATTTCGGTGAAAATGTGGTATGGTTACCTTGCCTCAGGTATCTTTATGTAGGAGGAGTTCAGAAGGAAGTGAGCTTTAAGAAGGGTGGTTAAGTCTTAGTAGCAATTAAGCAAGTCTGCTTTCCAGTGCCCTCGTGCTGCGTAGTCCAGTCACTTCTCTTGCTTTTCTGTGCAGCGCAGAACACACTAAAGGTGTATCCCGTCTTTCTCTTGCACACATACAGCAGATTCACGGAGAAGGGAACAAGTCCATGTTGTTATCCTCTGGCCCCTGGCACTGAGTGTGTACAGATTCAGGCAGAAAGGGAAGCTGCACACCAAGCCTAATGGGCTCCTGAGATGGCCATGTGTTCTGCTTTACAGAGTACAGTTGTATATTTCAAGAGCAGTCAAGATGTCACCCCTCTAATTAAAGGTGTTCTCTATTTGAAGGGCTCTCAAATCCACAGAAAAAAACCATATGCAGGGAGAGCTGCACATAGAATCATAGAATCATAGAGTTGGAAGAGACCACAAGGGCCATCGAGTCCAACCCCCTGCCAAGCAGGAAACATCAATAGTGAGCAGCAGGACAGCAGACAGAACAGGCTCATGGGTCACCTGGCAATGTATCCAATGCTAGTCATACTCAGAACAGACACACTGAAATTAATCGACTTGGCTATCCTAGGTCTATTCATTTCAATGTGGCTATTCTGAGTAGAAGTTAGTTGGATGCAATAATCTGGCCAGCATTTTTTTTTTCAAATATGATAAGATGCACTGTATTTCTATTTAAATTATAGTAATTATTTCTAAATTTGCAACTATACGTGCTGTATAAAAAAAATCTTCTCAAATATTTACCCCCCTCAAAATAGTATCAAAATGTGCAATTTCTCAAAATACATATTTAAAGAAATAATCTGATACATTTAAAATCCTGAGAACTGTATCACAATTGACAGAGAAGTGTCAGCTGGTTGCTGGACACATCCTGATCTGCTCATTAGACTGAGAGGTTCAGATCTGGTCGCTTCATATTCACTAATTTGCAAATTCACTTTCATATTCACTAAATTCACTAATTTGCAAATAGTGAATTTCTGAGGAAGGACGATATACTCAGCGATAGAGTATCTGCTTTGTGAGCATAATATCCCAGATTCAATTCTGGGCATCTCCAGGTAAGGCTGGGAAACATCAAGTGCCTGAAACTGAAGGATAGTGACTATTCAGAGATATGGGCCAATGCTCTGATTCTGTACGAGACAGTTTCTGATGTCCCAATGTCTCCACACAGGAGAGACCCTGCATGCTCTTGATTTAACTGAAAATGATGCTCTAAGCATAATTTCCTGCCAGGGATTATGGTGCTTCAAAACACAAAGTTCCTTTGAATGTTCAACAGGAATTGATAAGTGCTTGTGATACCATACTAGCTGTCTAACCTTGCTTTAGGTCATGGATACACAAGCTTATCTGACACACTATAAATTTCTCTTCATTTCACTACTTCCATTTGCCACCAGTGCCTCCTCCTCCACTCCCCCCTAACTCGTTTCCAGTGTGATGGTGGCAATTATGATGATGATGATAGTGTTTACTTTAGACCAGAGCAGGCAGGGATATTCTATGGTAAATGGGCGAGCTGATAGAAAACACATTTTCTCTGAGCAGTATTGTGCACCAAGCTGCATGAGTGATCTCTTCTCTGGTTGAAAATCCCTGTGTGTGAAATCAGACAAGTGACAATCATTCCCAGTGGGAAACCTATTTCTTGTCACCCATATGCACAGCTATTTTCTGATGAAAAGGAAAGGAAAGAAAAACTTGGGGAAATTACCCTATAGAGAAGAAGGAGGAAAACGCCTACATCTTTTTCACATTAAAGCCATCAATTCCTTTCTGTCTTGAGTCACAGGAGGGGGTGAGCCAGCTGCCTTGCTATCAAGAAAACCCCTTTGGTTGCTTCTACTATGGGATAGAAAAGATGTTTTGCAATGGACAAATTGGGAGAGTTAGATTAAACTCTCTTTACAGTCTTTGACACCCATCAGCATTCCACCCCAACATTTCATATTATTATTATTATTATTATTATTATTATTATTATTTGCATTTAAAGAGGGCATCAAGACTAAACCTGATATTTCAATTCTATGTATGATGTTGGGTCTGATTTCTCAAAGTTAAGTACATTTAAATAATTTTCAGCTCAGTTTTTCCTTTGGGAGGAGGGGGTGCTTGAGTGTATGGGGAGGGGTTGAAACCAACCTGTAGAGTGGTGAATGAGAGAAATTTCTCCAAACCTTTGGGAGTTCTGTCCATCTCTTTACATTTACAAGGTGGGCAAGGATTCCCTTCCCCCTCATTGGCTCCCAGTAGCTTCCTGGCTCCACCATTGTCCCCCTTTTTCTTTGAGCAGCAAAACAACCTTGTGATTAAGAGTGGGTGGATTTATCAATTTTGGTTTATTTTTTGCAAAGCAATTTTCCGAATAGATTGCATTTTTACTATGCTATTTTCATGAATATACATGTTATGAACACTTAGTGTGTGAATTTTTGTACACATTACTTGGTTGGAGAACTGCACTGTCAAACAATGGCTGATCTTCAGTTTGCATATTGTTTTGGTTAGTACAAATTAGGAAGGCATTTATAAAAAAATTTATAAATGCAAAAATAATTGGATTTCTTCCCCAACCATAATCATGACTCTCTTTCTTGATTCCCAGCCAATTGGTGTCCCCTTAAGCAACCAAAAATCCCCACATGGCTCTCTGCAGTTTCCCAGCCAGCCCTGTGTGTCCTGGCACACTCCTAGCTTTTTCACATGGTTGGACATATGATCCAGTCCAAACTTCTGGTTGTATCTAAGTAATGCAGGTCACAATTCTAACACACAATTCTAACACATTAGTAAGACCCACTAAAGACTGTACCGTGGTACCTCGGGTTACATACGCTTCAGGTTACATACAGAAATATAACCTCGGGTTAAGAACTTTGCTTCAGGATGAGAACAGAAATCGCACGGCGGCAGCACAGCAATAGCGGGAGGCCCCATTAGCTAAAGTGGTGCTTTAGGTTAAGAACAGTTTCAGGTTAAGAACGGACCTCCAGAACGAATTAAGTACGTAACCAGAGGTACCACTGTAAACATACATAGGATTGATTTGTAAATGTGTGCGTCTGCACAACTGTGCATAAGTATAGGGACTCCTAGTTACACCCATACTTTCGATAGCCAGTCCTCCTGGGAAGGAGGTGATTTGGACTTCCAATGGACAGCCACTGTCAATCTGGCTGCTGCAAGAAGCATGAGCACAAGAGATTTGTGCATGCTAGATGAGTTGGTCCCACACTCCAAGGATCAGAGTGCCAGGAAAAGGACCTGTGAGGTGAAGATGGAAATAGTATCAAAAGTTTGGATCCAGAATCTCTGAACTATGCAACAGTCCCACCACATATGAAGATATGTTCCAGTGTGTCTACAACTCTGCCAACATAAATTGGAATAGTCTTTGCCAATTTTAGATAGACGGAGTGGAGTACAATGTCATCTTAACAGTGTTTTCAGTGTGGCTTCCTATATTCTTAGAGATAGTTTTAAGTGGGGATTTCTTTCTTTGCTGCATTCATGCTGCCCCTATCTATCAGTCTCTGAGTGGTATCACTCTGAGCACCAGTTGGGGATCATAATATCATAGAGCTAGAAGGGACCCTTAGGATCATCTAGTCCAACCGCCTGCAATGCAAGAATATGCAGCTGTCCCATATGGGGATCGAACATGCAACCTTGGTGTTATCAGCACCACCAACTGCTTGTGGTTAGAAAGTTGGACTAGCTGGGTCATTAAGTCTGATATAGCAGGGCTCTCCGTTATGTAAACACACATGCCACTGTCAATGTATCTGTGTGAAATAGCCATTGTTGCTCTGTTTGGATTCAAAATGTTTGCTCTCCCAGTGAAAATGATTTTACTCTTTTCAATTACTTCTGGTAGTTTCTTTTCATTCTTTACTCTAAAGTGGAAGAAGACAGATGGATAAGAGGATATCAAGACTACTTGATCAATTTCATGGCCAGAACCAATCCTATCTTGAAGTGTCATCATCATGAAGCACAGATTCTCTTGTCAGATGCAGGACAAGGGTTAATTTCATTGGTACTTTAAAAATAAGTTTTATAGGAGATTTTTTCTGGGGCTGCAGGATCCAAAAGAGAAGAGCAAATGATAACCAAGAAAAGAGTTAAGCTCTTGTGGATTTGTTAACATCAAGCTATGGCATCAGTTCACATTTCTGCTTTGATGCTGTAGCTGCCGCCACTACAGTCTGTTTTGAGTTATAATCCAAGTAATCTATTTGCTTATACATGTTTCTAGAGTCCAGATATGTCACCAGACCCCATGCTTCCTTTGCTCAGAATGCAAACCATGGTGGCTCAACATGTTCACCTCAAAAGGGAGGTTTTTGGGTTTTTTTAACTTACTCAGAATTTAATTTAAGATGAAGAAGAACTCAAATGATGGGTTAATGGGCAGGTAATGGAACCAAGTGTGAAGCACAATGGTTTCATATTATCTGACTGTTTAAAACCACTTAAAGCAGGACTGGTGAATCTTCTGACCAAGAGACTGTCAAAACTGCAAAATCTGAATAAGCAGAGACATGCCATAGTTTGATGGAAAACAGATTTATGTACAGGGAATGGCCTATTATGCAAGAATGTCACTTCTTTCTTTGAGAAAGGTGGTAAATTGTTGTCCATGCAAGGATACCGGAATCAAAGATCACAAATGATGTCCCTGCCTGTGCTGGACTCCATCTATACTAGATGGTGGCGCTGTGGTTTAAACCACTGTTTGCTTGGACTTGCCAATCGGAAGGTCATGGTTCGAGGCCCCGTGACGGAGTAAGCACCCATTGTTCGGTCCCGTTGTTTGGTCCAGCTCCTGCCAACCTAGCAGTTTGAAAGCACGTCAAAGTGCAAGTAGATAAATAGGTACCGCTCCAACGGGAAGATAAACGGCGTTTCTGTGCGCTGCTCTGGCTTCACCAGAAGTGGCTTAGTCGTGCTGGCCACATGACCCAGAAAAACTGTCTGCAGACAAACGCTGGCTCCCTTGGCCAGTAAAGCGAGATGAGCGCCACAACCCCAGAGTCATTCGCGACTGGACTTAACTGTCAGGGGTCCCTTTACCTTTACCTAAGCAAATTGGAGAAGATGGGTGCCAGCTGTTGTAATATACAGTATAGTTACTGACTTACACTTGCATGCATTAAAGATTTAACCTGAGCCCAAAGCTCAGGTTGCAAGTGGATGTGGCTTAGCAGGGTCTCAGCAAACTCTGTGCTCTCTTTTTCACTCTTCCCCCCCACCTTCGTGCTTCCTGGAACAAGCAAAAAAGGAGCCATGTGGCCAATGACTCCCTGGAAGAGAACTGAATCTCTCTAAAAGGTGATCTTTTTGCATGCATCTTTGCTAACCTGAAGACTGCAGGATCCTTTCATAAGGAAATCAAGTACTTTTCTTTTTAATTTATTGGAACCTTTTTCATCTTTGTTTTACTGCCAGAGATGGAGACTTGTTTGCTGTAACGTCTGGAAACTCTGTTAGTAAAACATTCAGTTATTTGCAAAGCTAACTGCCTGTGATTTATTCTAGCCCAAGTATTTTTACAGGGAACATTTGTTTAAAGGTGGTTGAGGGTAGATGTAAATCTAACCAAAATTAAATGTGTTTGGATAAATCACCATTGTTCTAACTCTGTTACTGGAGAGTGGGAATCTCTCTTCCAAACACCTCTCTGCAACACCAGCCTGATGGAGAATTGAAGTGTTCCAGTAAATCTTCCCATGAATATGTCACCCATATCACCAAAATGCCAAAATTATTTCCTGCTCCATTTCATGAGAGATGTCGGATAAAATGGAGAGGGGGTTCACCAAGCCCTAGCAAGGGTACTAGCTCCCTACTTCGAAGAGTTAACTGCAGCATCTACTGCTAAGTTCACTCATGTTTCTATCAATCATTTAACTTGCTCCCATTAACAGACCTCACAATAAAATGTATGCATTTATTAGTATGCAAAATAAGATACACTATCAGGAAATATCTCTTAACAGACAGGAAAAAACATTTTGGATAAAATTTATTTGGATAATATTACCCTTG